AACAGGTTTGACCGGCAATTTCAAGGCATTCGGGTTCAAATTTCGAAAAACGGACTGCGGAATCGGATTTGGAACGTCGAAAAATGTCAGGATAGGTATACTCGGTCAAAGCCAAAGGTCGTTTAATGCCCGGTCAAAGCCAGTCAAAGTTTTGGTCAACAGTGGTTAACGCCGATCAACGGGTCGGATCAACGGGTCGAGTAAACGGGTCGGGTCGGGTTGTGACCGGTCAAACCGGTCAAATGGGTTACAAAATCTGTCAAACCGTGAACAGTTCACTGATATCGGAAAATTCCCGGAAAAATTCCTAAAAATTATTTTAATCGATTTCGAGATACTTACAAAGCTCGGTTCAATTTTTTGAACGGCGGAGAGCTCGATTTCAACGAATCAGAAACTTTGATCGCTTCACCTCCACACGCGCCGCCGCCGCCGGAGAAAAGGGAGGACACCGGTGGACTCGGAATGGCTCAAGGAACACGATGGTGCAGGAGGTGTCGTAAACAGATGACCCGATCGTCGTGAATCTATGAAAAACCAACTAAAATTGAGTTATTACCGACGATACTTCCGACTGAAATTCACGACGAGCGGTGATGATTCACGACGAAAGGTTTGAGGGGTTTGGTTCCTCGGTTGACAACGAACACGATGGTGGTTTCGGCTCGTCGATCGGAGGTTGGACGGCGAGTAGATCGGAATTGGAAGGAGGGTTGACGGGAGAGGGAAAACTGGAAAAATTTCCAGAAACATACGGGAGATTGGGGGTATATATCATCTCATAATTAAAAATGGCTAAATCAAATGTTTAGCCACTGAACTTCCTGTACTTCATAAAACGGTCTGCCAACTTTAAAATTTTGCAATTTAACCCACTGTTTCTTTCAAAATACCAAATTAAATCAACCACTTTATAATTTCTTAAATTTAGCCCCTAAATTGGGGTGTTACATTTATAGTATTTTGATTTTATCTGATTCTAATTTAAATGGTTTTTTATAACCATATACAACACATACTATTTATAGATATTTTTCATATGTGATATACATATATCATATAGAGTCAAGTGACTCGACTCAAAATTGAAAATCAATGCACTAATTACTAAAATTTTTGAGTTACTATTCGAGTTATTTGAGTTGTATTTTACAACTTTATTTGAATTTGATAATTTTTTGAGTCAAGTTGAGTTGAGTGTATAAAACTATAACTCGAAATTATTTTGATTCGATTCGAGTTGAAAAAAATTAATTTTTCAAATCGAATCGAGTTGTGCTCAACCCCCACTTATATTGAGTAGTAGCTGAAAAGTATTCCCAATTTTATATACAATTGTAATTATAATAATTCAAGTATACGCCAGCGAGTAGGCCTGTAAATGAACTGAACGTTCAGCGAACCGTTCATGAACCGTGCGGCGAGAAGTTCGTTTATGTTCGTTTGTTTATTAAATGAACGAACATGAACAAGATTTTGCGTTCGTTTAATTAAATGAACGAACATGAACAAATGGCTCGTTCGTTCATTTACGCTCGTGAACGTTCAATTATATGTTCGTTTATGTTCGTTCATTTATGTTCATTTATGTCCGTTCATTTATGTTCAAACAGAGGGCAAGTTGAATATGTTACGAAGATTATTGAAGTTGTTTGGATTTCAAGAAGATTATTTTGTTGAACAAATTAACTTTAAGATTTTATTATGTTCATATATCTTATTTATGATTTATGTATATTTTTTTCATATTCGAACAAATTAACTCTAAACTTGCAGGTTATATTAATGAATTTTAAGTTGTTATTCTTGTTGTTTACTTTTTTTTACATTCGTTTGTTGTGTTCGAATAAGTTTTTTTTTTTGTGTTTGTGTTGTTCGTTTATGTGAGTTTATTGTGTTAGTTTATTGTGTTCGTTTATGTTCGTTCGTTCATGTTCATTTATTATTTAAATGAACGAACATGAACAAGCTATATTCCTTAATGAACGAACATGAATAAAAAAAATTTATTCGTTTATGTTCGTTTATTTATTAAATTGAATTGCCCATCTAGCTTAGTTGGTAGAGCGCAAGGCTCTTGACCTTGTGGTCGTGGGATCGAGCCCCGCGGTGGGTAATTTATAATTCTGACTGCTGGAGGTCTTCTACGGAAGCTGCTCTCAACCTGACGTTGGGGGCAGCCTACTACCTTACATCCTCCTCACCCTATTACATATGAGAATAGGGTCAGCTAATTTTTACATTAATTGATATTTGGGTAAACTACGACCATAACCATTTAACTATATGAAAATTTTAATCTAATCATCAATCTTTTAATTTTATTAGTCGCACTATTTAATTATTCAAATAGTGTCAATCAAGTAATCTACCCAGTGGCAAATCGTAAGAAGAGCTAGTGGGGCCATGCCCCCATTTTAAAAATTATAATTTAGATATTTTAAATTAAAAAAAATTAATTTGATCTCCAAAACTTTTAGAAATTCATATTAGACTTTAAAAAAATGTTAATGTTCTTAATTAATTCCCCTCCCATAATTTTTTTTAAAAAAAATTCTTATTAAGTTTATTAAAATTTCAAAAATTTTAGTTAGACACTAATTTTTTGGAAAAATATAAATAAACCCTTCAAAATTTTTGAAAATTTTAATTTAAATTTCTGAAATTTTTAAAATTTTAAGTTGCCCACCAAACTCTATCAACAAGTTCTGCCACTGAATCTACCGTCAACATTTTACGGAGGAGTTGACATGATTGTTAACAAAATTAGTATAATCTAATCTCTATTACTTATACATTCTATCAATTTACTCTTAAAGGAGACTAATTATATAATTATATAAATTTTGTTAACAGTCACGCTAGCTCCTTCGCCAAATGTTAACGGTAAATTATTTGATTAAGTAAATTATTTGATTAGCATTATTTAAATAATTAAGTGATTGTATTTAATAAAATTTAAAAATTAAATCAAATTAATTATAAGTGGTTATGAGTATAGTTTACTCTTAAAATTTTAAAACTGCAGGAATGAAATGAAATACATATGTGATGCTGAGTCAACATCTACCAAAATTTATTGAATTTGTAAAATATTTCAACTAACAAACGATTTCATTCGTTAGTGTCGAATATCGCTTCTTATGGGAAGTTGGCGAAACCCAAATTAACCAAACATTTTAAATAAAGACTCAAACTATCTTCCCCACCAACATTCTTTTACCAATATTTATCGACCAAAGTCCTTAAATAAAATTTCAGATTAAAATATTATAAAAATTAAATAAACGAAGGTTGGATAAGATATTGCCACCTCAACCTAAGCTGTTATTCTTTTATTATGTGTATTATGTAACGAGTAAATTCATAGAAATTATTTTTTAACAGGGGGAAATCTAAAATTCTAAAAAAATAAATAAATATATAAATATATCTAAAATATACGATAATTTAAAATTTTAGGATATATTTTAAAATATGAGTTTGTTAAAAAGATTAAGCAACCAACTCTACGTACGCATTAAAGTTTCAAATATCGATGTCGCCATCTCATTTGTCACCACCTTATCCAGTGATCTTTTCAACTAAAATATCATTATAAGAGAACCGCATAAGTGAATATTGTTAAGGTACGTTTTGAATAGGCAAAAAAAAATTAATTACATGGATGGTAATTTATTTTTGTGTTTTATTCATATTTTGTCATTGATTTCAAAAAACATAAGATATGATCATTTTTATTTTTATTTAATTAAGATATTATCATTTTCATATTTATTTAATGAAGATGTGGTCACCCAAAGTTAAATGTCGTTAACAACCGTTAAATATTTTTTATATAATCACACATTTGGTCTCTTTTATTACATATTATTTCAATTTAGTCATACTTTTAATAAATTAAAATAAATTTAATCTTCTAATGGAACGATGCCACGTGTCATGCCAGTAAGATTGTTCAAAAATACCAGACCCGATTGAGCTGACCCGTCGATCCGCTAACCTAGTTAAAAAATATTTTTTGGGTCGGGTGGGTTTCTGGGTCGAGCATGAGTCACAAAATGTTGGTTAATTGGATACCCTCCGACCTAGTACCTGATTTATTATATATTTTTTTATTTTTTTATTAATTTTTTATTCATAATACTCAAATTATTTCACTCTGATATTCTAAAATCTTAATTTCTTAAATTTTAACACCATACCGTTCTAAATTCTTAATTTCTTAAACTATTTTACATTAGCATTATAAATTATTTTTAAAATATTTATTTTAACTTCAAAATATTTCAAATTTAATTATATTTTTATTTAAAATTTTAATAAATTTTATTTTAATTATGTAATTTGAATTTTTAAATTTTATGTGTGAATTATATATATTATAGACTTTTAAATTTTAAATTTTTTTTATATAACTTTTTTTAAAAATTAATATAGTTTAAAGAAAAATAAAAAAAATACGAAATGGGTACCCGTGACCCCATTTATATATAATATAATTTTATATATATTAAGTTAAAATATTTTATATTAACTTATTAAATATATTTTACTATTAACTTAATTAAAAAATATTTTATTTTTATTTTGATTTAAAAATATATAATTTATTAAAAATATGATTAAATTGAGAGAATATAAAACTAACAGTGACCAAAAGTATAGATATATCAAAATATTTAACTGTTTATAACCGCAATTAACGCAGGTGACCAAATATTTTTAAATGAAAACGTAAGTGATCATATCTTGTGTATTTTAAAATCAGTGACTAAGAGTAAATAAAATCTAAAGATAAGTGATCATCATGAAGTTAACCCCAAAAAAATATCTTTGCTCAAGGCAGGATGAAAAAAATATCTTCCAAAGCAAGTCAAGAATTGATAATCCTCGAAAGTGAAGTAAATGGTGTGGGGCTGGACAAGATGCAATTTAGCCTTTTTCAATAGTACATATTCTACACGCACACAAATCACTTTCAACCTACAAACCCCATGGAGATTAAGTGCAAAAAGGGTCCCAGAAACATGAAAAACATTCATCGGGTTGGATGAAACACCAAAATTGGGACACCCTGTTTCTCTTCTTTATCTTCTCTCCTGTTTTCAACCTGTGGAACAACCTAAACAACACACATATTAACAACTGTTTAGCTTTAGCCATGAATCTAAACTGCTTCTGTGTTTTTTAGCTTTAGCCATATTAACCAAACTATTATTGTACAGCCATAATACTTGCAATAACCATGATAACATCTGTTATAACTACGTTTGCGATAAACGAAATATAACCGAAATCGAGGCTTTGGTGACAAACCTGATCTTCTGATGAAGCAAGAGACCTAGAGGATGATCTTCTTGATCTTTTACCAGGCCTGACCTTCATCCTGCATCGGTTTGAGCCGGTAAAACCTTAGTGCAGGGAAAACCCAGAATGATTAGGCTGGAAAAAGGAGCATAAAATAAAAGCAGGCGGGTAGTTGGAAGAAGGTGAAGAAATAATACCCGAAGTAGTGTGGTTCCTTGTGGTGGGAGCATTGCGTTTGCAGTCCAGAGTGGAGTCAGAGGTGTCAGGCAGGTGACGGTCCAGACGGAGATTAAAGCGATCGTTGTTGTCAAGCATAGTACGGACGAACCATGCTTCCATGGAGTTGAGGAAGGTCACATGCTTCTCCTCCGTCCACGACTCTTCGCTTGGGTTGCTCGGCACGTGCGACTCCATCTCCGAGAAACAAGCAGGCGGCGCCGTTTGGCTTGTTCAAATGCCAAAAGTCTAGATTTTAGAGGTGATGCAAGTTTTGCAGTTGCACTGCTTTCTCTGGAAGCTGGGGTGGGGGTGTTTTATAGAGTGGGCGTCCTTTTTAACCAACTTCAAATAGTAACATACATTAGAATATATATATATATATATATATATCAAATAACATACATTAGATATTTAGACCCTCTAGTCTATTTCTTAGCTACAGTTTTCAAAAGGTAAAGTTGAGACGTGAGGCTACCAATGTTTTCCATACTCGCTGCTCCTAACGGCCACCTGTTTTGGATAATTAATTTTGGTCACCATTATTTTGAAAGGTAAACTGCGTATCTAGTACCCAGACCATCAGTTTTGTTTGTTTTATTACTTAAACTTTCGATTTTTTTAAATTCATACCTAACGTTTAGTTTTCATTTCATTTTTAATACCACATCATTAAAAATTTAACTTGTTTAGTATTTAAACTATTAGTTTTGCTCCAATTTAGTACCTAAATTTTAATTTTTTTACAAAAATTAACGTTAAATTCTGGACGAGATAGTAAAATAAAACAAACACTAAAGTTTTTAAAAACGGATAATAAAATAAAGCAAAAGCTAAAATTTAAGTATGATTTTGAAAAAATTTAAAAGTTTAAGTACTAACAAACTAAAATTAATAACTTAGGTACTAAACTCATAATTTATCTAGGAATCAACAAAATATTGATATTTAACACTTTTTAAGCGAGTGCGAAGCTTTTCATTGCAGGCGAGGATGGGTGAAAAATATCTGGGATGGGTTTGGGGGCATTGAAGTAATAAAATTGAATTTTAAAACAAAGATATTTTGGGGATCAACCAAGGAATCTGCTTTTTGCTTGAGATAAATTATACTGTTCTTTATCAAACTATATTTTCTCTTTTATTTTTTTCACTCAATTTTTAATTTTTTTATTTTATTTATTAAAATTACAGATTGAATCATTTTATTTAATTTCTCGTTATCTCTCTAACAGATGGATGATGTGATATTTTTTATTGTTTTCTAATATAAAATAATTGAGAAAAAAAACCTCAGCTTCTTCTTCCTCTGCGGATTGGAAAGCTTTTGTTTTTATATTCTCCCCATTCGTTGGTTGCATAGGACAGGCAGCTAAACTAACAATTAATAGGTTAAATTATACCATTAGTCACTTAACTATTTAACACTTTTATTTTAATCATCGATCTTTCAATTTTTTAATCAGATTATCTAACTATTTAATTATATCTGATCAAATCATTTGCTGTTAACATTCAACAGAAGTACTGGCGTGACAATTAACAAAATTAATATAATTATATATTTGGTTCTCAATACTTATGCATTTTATCAATTTGATCCAAATTTTAATTTAATAGACTTAATTCTCTAAATGGATTGTGACACATTTCATAACATAATTGGAAGGTATTTACTTAATTTTAATTATTTTATTTTATTCTACACTCAATTAGATGATGACATGTGTCGTCATCGGATTAGATAAAAAATAAAGCAAAGAACAAGCAGCAGGAGTGGGACTCATAACTAGGCTTTTTAGAAAAGAGAAAATAACCTCAGTGACCAAAAATCCCATATAATATACGATTTTAACCAACTTTTTCCGGATTTGCCAAAATGACCAACAAAATCGCAATGCGATCGCTAATTCGCAACGCGATCTCCATTATCGCAAATTCGCGTTGCATTTTCGCAATGCGATAGTTGAAAATCGCGTTGCGATGGTCTACAGTATCGTTGCGATTTTCCCAATTCGCAATGCGAATAAGTAAATCGCAACGCGAATTGGGAAATTCGCAATGCGAATAAGTAAATCGCAACGCGAATTGGGAAAATCGCAATGCGATACTGACTATCGCAATGCGATAATAAAAAATCGCAACGAGATACTTACTTTCGCAACACGATACTGACTTTCGCAACGCGATTTACTTAGCGCCATTCGTATTAACGCGTATTTTTTTTCAAATTCCAAACACGTATTTTTTCTTAATAAATCGAAAAATGAACCGTCCACAGTAATCGCAACTCATAACCTCAAACCCAAAAACACAACACTCAGTCTCATCTCCATCTCTCACTCTCTACGGCGAAATCCGTCCCCATCTCCGAAGATTTCCGTTCCCATCGCCGGCGAAATCCCTCACAACCATTCACAGTCAAAAATCCCTCACAATCATTCAGAAATGGAAAATCAACCTCCGAGGGTTAGTTTTTTTTTTTATTTTGAAATTTTTGCATTATTTTAGGTTTTTCATATTGAGATTGATGATAAGTTTACTGGTAATTTCAATAATAGATTAACCATTTCACTTAGATTTCTTATTAAATTCATTCGATTGCTGCCAATACTGCTAAACTGTTTAGCCTGTGAAGTTAGTATTTGTCTTTGCTTTGTCTTTTGGTTGAAGTAATGCAGAAGAAGAATAGTTTCGAGAATGAGAATCGCAACGCGGAAATGACTATCGCAACGAGATAATCGCAACGCGAAATAAAAATCGCAACGCGAAACCAAAATCGCATTGCGATTTTCATTTCGCGTTGCGATTTTCATTTCGCGTTGCGATTTTAATTTCGCGGTTGCGATTTTAATTTCGCGTTGCGATTGTCTGGTCGCGATAGTCATTTCGCGTTGCGATTCTCTCGTTGCGATAGTCATTTCCGCGTTGCGATTCTCATTATCTCGTTGCGATTTTCATTTCAACCAAAAGACAGAAACAGTGTTGCAAATTTTAGTTTCAAGAATAAACTACTATTATGTTTATTGTTTTGTTTTTGGTATATCTTGACAGTGTAATTTTTGGTATATCTAACTTGGTATGTTTATTGTTTTTTTGTAGAAATTTTTTTCGGCTTCATTGACATTAAGGAATAAAGTTAGCCTAGCCACTACAATTGCTTCGAAGCTTTCACCTGCACAAAGAAAATTGTTTGAAGAAACCTGCTTCGGGCCATGGCTGAGAGTACAGCATCCGGGTGGAGATGCTAGTTTGACCCATTTGTGGCTTCAGACCATGACTAGCGATCTACCCGACAGTATACAACGTGGTGAGGAAGAGATATGGTTTCATTTTCCACCGGCGTATACTTGTTTTGGGCGGAAGGAGTTCTGCTTAATCACTGGTCTACGATTCGGACATGATGATGTAGGCCGGTACACTCGTCATATCACCCGCCCATCATGGTTATCCAGGGTTTTTCCTGATGAGTCAATAGAGAAGCCGAACTTACACGTCGACGACATGAAGAAATTGTTTAATAAGAAAGATGGTTTTACTCGGATGAATGACGTCGATGTTGTCCGAGTATGCCTTCTACTACTTTTGTATGCCGGCTTTCTAGGTAGAGAGGCCAGACAACCTATTCCTCAGGAGCTAATATTATTGGTAGAGGACCTAAAAGCATGGAATCTGTTTCCGTGGGGTTCGTATATATGGAAAGCTACCTGGACTAAGTTGTCGTCTGCCTTTGATGACCGCAAAAGTTTGCGGGGCGATGGGTCGAAATACACTTTGTCAGGCTTTGTTTGGGCCTTTAAGGTAAGAATTTCTATATAATGTTTTCAAAATTATAATTAATTATTTAACAATTACTAATGTTTGTTATTATATTGTTTGTATATTTGGATATTCGAGGCTTTCCCCAGCATGCGGACATATGCATTAAAATCCTCAGATGATATTCCTAGGGCTATTTCCTGGAAGAGGAAACGTATGTTGGATTGGGAAGACTTAATACCATATGCGACAATAAATAATGTAAGTTAACACAAATACTATCATATATAAACAAGTTATTAATAGTAGACGTTTAACTTTGTTTTAGTTTTTATATTATTAGGAGGCCAACACTCCATTAATGAGACTGACACCCACGGAGGCTGAGCTTGCCACTGATTGGTGGCAAGCTAGTCAGCGTTTTTTTGATGGCACGAATGATGAGCAGCCTCCACTTCCTCCACTTCGAGAGCCATCACCTCACCCAGAGCCATCACCTGATCGACCCGACTATACACCTCTACAACGAGAGCCATCACCTATCCCGTCACATCATCGAGTCTCTTCTCCACCATCACCTCATGATAGGCGACCGACAAAGATGCCACGACTTCTATCTCCCTGTTCTCCACCTCCACGGGATGAGTCAAGAGAGTTACGTGATGAGGTCAATGCCTTGCGTGAGGAGATCGGTACTCTACGCGATAACGATGGTGCATGGCGTGTGGAGGTGTCTACTTTACGTGGTGAGGTTGCCGCTCTACGTGAGATGGTAGTATCGTTGCAGAATGAGGTTCATACTCTACGCAACGAGGTAAGTTTAAGATTTTCCATATTTAACTTGATGATAAATTTACTCGTAATTTCACTTAAATTAACCATTTCACTTAGATTGCTTAGTAAATTTATTCGGTTGCTGCCAAAACTGCTAAACTTTTTACTTTAACACTGTGAAGTTAGTATTTGTCTTTGTTTTGTCTTTTGGTTGAAAGTTTGAAATATATTTATCTTTGTTTTCACTGTTTAAATATCATGTCTGTTTATTTACTGATATTTGTATTTTTATTTAGCGGACCGATAAGGTGGATGCTTTACGTCGGGTTTTTCTTGCACGACAGAGTTTACGCATCAGACGGCGTGCACGTGCTATTAAGTCTCCGTGTACCCCAATAGTGCGAAGACACCGCAAGAAGAAGCTCGACTCACCTATCATCCCTCAAGAGTCCACTCCTATCGTTGAAGAGGCCCCTATCATTCCTCGAGAGTCCCCTCCCACCGTTCAAGAGGCCACTGTCATCGTTGAAGAGGTCCCTCCCACCATTCAAGAGCCCGATTCACATGGCGTCATATGTAGGATTCTCGAGAAACCCTCTGACGTGCCGGACATGATGGATTCAAGTTGGCTCTCGTATGAGTTACCGGCCAGTACCATACCGGTATCTGAAGAGGAGAGGAAACAACTACCGGACACAATTCTGGATAACACCCTTTGGGCTAAGACCGCAGT